TCATTTCCAAAATTTCTATTTGAAGTAAAGTTTTTATATATAAAAAAAAAAAACATACGAATTGGAAAGTTTCTCTATAAAAAAAGAACAAAGAAAGTATAAAAATTATGATACATAACGGTACAATTAATAGAGATAGAATTTTAATTTAGTCAAAATGCTAAAACATTGTTCAAAAGTTATTGCGGAACAGTCCTAATACATGATTTGAAAGAATGTAAAGGTAAAATGTAATTGGTATGGGTAGTGATCAATCATCAATCCATTTTGACATTCATATGATTCATGTATAAGAAGTGACTCTGCACCAATCTTTTACAGGTGGAGAAATGCCAGATTGCCCATTTTAGCAACCATAAAAGTCTGTAGAAAGCCCACTTCTTGTTTGCTCTATTTACCTTTTTGGGAATAACCTGTCTTAAACGTGAACTTCTAAGAAAGTTCCATAACAGCTGGAAACTTGTCTTTTTAGGGTATATTTTTCATCTTTGGATTAACCATTTCACTTATTTCAATTCTTATTATCCATATAAAATTCAATAAATGTTCAATTTGATTCTAAAATTAATTTTTTTTGACCAATTTTAGATATAGAATTTGATTGTAAATCATTTTGTCTCTTTTTTTTTTTTTTTTGGCAAATTATATAGAGTTATAGAATTTGATTGTAAATCACTCTTTGTCTTCTTTTTTTTTTTTTGTAGCTAAAACCGAAATTTAATAATATCAATATATTTTTTTATTCTTCTTAAAAGTTTATTCCAATCAAACCATTAATACATAGCATATTTAAAATTTTTTTTTTTTTTTTGGCTAAAAAGAATAAAATATCAAGTTTTATTCTCTTAAATGTTTTCAACATAATACAAGATATTTAAAAATTTTTTTTCAAAAAAAAATAAATCTTCTTTGTAGAAAATGAAGAAGAAAAATAGAATCTATTTTTTTATTTTCACATTTCTCAATTCAAACTTTGTTTTAAATTATTAGATTTGAATCTTATACACATATCTATATGTCAAGGAAAAGGCTTCACATGTCTATATGGAGGTCTCTCCCCATTGAGTATTACTTTTTTATCTTTTGTAATTTTTTTTTAAAATTTCCAATATATTTAAACATGCACTATTTTTAATAAGCAAGTAAGTTAATTTGCTTAAGTGATTTGTATTAAGTGAAGTTTCTATCTCTCTTTTGCAATAATTTAAGTTATTATTAAGTGAACTTTTTATCCCCTCCATTATATAATATAAAGGAGAATTATGGATTTCTTTTGGTTGCTAAAATTCTCTAAAAGTCTCTAAAATTTTAAAAGTAAAATTCTCTAAAATTTTAGCATTTCATTTCTCCTTGGTCGAGAAAATTTTACCTTTTAAACATTTGAAATTTAATTATTTTCTTTTAATTACTCTCTCTGTCTCGGAACATAAATTGTTTTTGGTTTATTATTTTATTCCAAAATATAAGTCATTTTGTGTATTTCAAGAAGCAATACATGTTGCCCTTATTTACACTAAATACAATAAATACTTCACAAATAACTATTGGTTTTGAGATAAAGGATAATTTAGTCAAATCACCTTTGAGTTTGTTATAATATACGAAAATTAATTATTTCCTTAATCCTTATGCAAAAACCTTAAACGGTTTATATTTTAGGATAGAAAGAGTACTAGTTAACCTTTCTGTCTTCCTTAAAAGTTTAAATTTAATTTTTCAAATTTAATAATTATTATTACGGTTCTTCGCCTTCCTACTTTTCTTAAATGTTTAAAATGTAATTTTCTAAATTTAATATTCATCACTATAATTTGACATTGATATTAAAATACTAAAAGAAACCTATATTATTGTTGCTAAATCCTTGGCCTTCCTAATAGAAATTCATCAAATTTCCCTTCCTTTTTATTTAAAAATTGAACTTAAAATACTAAAAATTCCCTTTTCACTAGGGATCAGTTGATTGCAGTTCTTCTTTTAGATTATCACTTTACAATAGACAAAAGAAATTATAAAATTTCCATGTCTTAGCCAATCAATTTCAAGATTGATCTTTTATAGTTTAGAAACAAGAAGATGAGACGGTGAGTAGTCTTCTTCCTTTTTTTTCTTCTTAGTTTATTTGTTTATGATTTTTAATTTTTGAGTAAATTATTTGGGTATAAATTTTATTTTTCTTCTCATTATAAGTTAAATATTTCCATGCCAATAATATTTGAAATCTTTTAAATTCATTTTATGATTTGTATGACTCCAGTTGAATGATTCATATTAAATTGAATTTATCGTGAGAAAGGGATGCCTATGTGTTTTTTTAGCAAATTAAAATTTCTGATATTTATATAGAATATATAAAGAAAAATTTTAAAGTTCTTTCTTTGTTCACTAATTTGGTTGAAATTTTAATTTGGTGCTTTATTTTGTCGGTTAAAAGAAGAACATTATAATCTTTTATTGTCTTTTTTTTTTTATTATTGTTTTCTTAGTTTTGTTTTTCCAATTTCATTAACATTTTGTATTTTGCTAATTTTAGTTTAGTTTTATTTATTTTTGCAAGGATTCAAGTGTGTGCAATTCGAGATTATCTAAATATATTTTATGCAATAAGAATTAATTATTATATTTTAATATTTTATTTAATTACATGCTCAGAGTCTGGTTAAATCTCAAAAATCAAAAATCAAGTATTTAAATAATTTTAAGTCATTTACAAATTCACTTTATTTCTAAAAATAATTACAGCCACTTCTTTTTAAAAAGTTGATTTTTTTTTTTAATTTACTCAACATGCTATCTCACACTTACACTTAAAACAAAATATATATATATAAGTATTATAAAGCGGGATTCACCTAGTTTTAAATAATTTTAGTTCTTATGATTTAATAACAAAGTAAGTTAGTTTTGATAATAAGTTAATTTTGCTTCATTGAGTTTATTTCTCTATATTTTGTAGTTTTCCTTTTTTTGGTTATTATTAAGTGAACATTTTGTCTACCTTTTTTCAATAATCTTAGTCATTATGACTAAATTGCAAATAAGTTATAAATTAGCTCACTAATATTCAAATAAAACCTTTTGCATAAGTTCCAATAAACTTTTGCGTTTAGACATGTTGAAGATGGTTTGCATTTGTCAAATGAGCATAATATATTATTTACAACCTATTACTTTTTTTTTTTTTTGAAGATTCCAACCTATTAATTTAAAATACACAATTGCTTGAAAGAAATGATTATATAATTCTATTGGTGTCAGCTAAGATTAAAAATTCAAAATATTCATATATTACTCTCTCTGTTTTCTTTTTTTTTTTAATAATTACTCTCTCTGTTTTCTAAATACTTATCAGATTTGAGAAAGTATTATGTTTTTAAATACTTACTCCTTCTGTCCTAAAATATAAGTCATTTAAAGTTGTTGCACAAGAATTAAGAAAACTATTAATTCTCCTAAATTACAACACACTCAAGGGTAATTTGACTAAATTATCATTTATCTCAAAACTAATAGTTATTTGTGAAACTATTTATTGCAACTAATCTAAACAAAGGTAATGGAAAAACATCATTTATTATTCCTTAAAATACTTAAAACGACTTATATTTTGAAACAAAATAATCACCGAAAAATGACTTATATTTGGAACACATGGAGTATCATATTTGTGGATTTCATAAATAATAAATTACCTTTTCTAACTTTCTATTTATCATTTATTGTTTTCCTTTGCTCTTCTTCTACTCATCTACACTTATCTAATTTCATTTATGTAATCTTAAGTTTTTTTTTTTTTTTTTTATTAACTAGGAGTTTTAATCTCCTTCGAGCCATAGAGCATATGTAATTTTAAGTTTTTTTTTTTTTTATAACTGTTTTATTTTTTTTAACTAGAAGGTTTGATCTCCTTCGAGCAGTAAAGCATAAAGGTTTTTTATCCTCTTAAAAAAGTGCATTTTCTGAAAGTTAAACTTGTGTTTTCATTTTTTTACAGAGATTGAAGTTGGTTGCTGTCCCAACCAATAGCTTATTGATTAATCTTAAAGTTTTTTTAGTACTATATTATACTAGTTGAATATGATTCCATTCATTTTCATTTTTATTAACATTTTAAATTAGTATAAAATACCTTTTTTTCATCAGCTAAATACTACTACGGAAGATTATTAATTATTATAACAATTAATAACTATTAATATAATTAATTTTATCGAATAGGCTTTTATACCGTGAAATTGTGAGCACTTCGTAACGAGTGGAATCAACTCCCCCCACTCAACTTATTAAAAATTAAAAAAAAAACAATACTTTGTAAATTTTTAAACTTTTTATACTTTTGACCCCATTAAAATAAAGTATTTAAATCATTGTATTTTAATTGTTTATAAAATATACTTTATAAATTAAATTTACTCCATTAGATTTAATATTTAGATATTCGTCCAACTAATTTACTTTTTTTATATATTTTCTTCTTTCACCATTAAATAATCAAATCAGATTAATTCTAATTGAATAATAAAATCAAAGTGATTATATGAGGTTTGATTTAATTTGATTTTATAATCAAAATCAATTTAGTTAGGCTAGTTACAAAAATGAATTCAGATTTTTTTTTTATTTTCTTTGTAAACAAAGCTGAATATATTAAAATAACCAAGGTAGTATTTGGGTTAGTTAAAAAAATTGAATTAAAATAGACCTGATTTTAATAGATTTTGTTTAGTTTTTTTAATCAAATTGATTCCTTTAGAAATATAAAAATTGTGATCTCGATTATTTCAATTTTGGTTCGAGTATTATTAATAAAATCAAATGATTTATTTAATTCAGTTTTAAAATATTGTTATAACTAAATTAACTTAAAGCAAAATCATATTTAGATTTTAGGAGTTTGAATTCTTTGAGCTTGCTTATTTTTTAATTATGGATTTTTCAATTAAAATTTTTTATTAAAAAACATGAAACATGACAAGTCCTAAGAAGTAGAACTATGATAATATTGAAAAGGAAGAAAGAAAATCTTATACTAAAAGAAGGATAGAGTACAAAAGCCCTTAAAGAAAAAACTACATGGGCTCTTTTGACTGTCTCTTGAGAGTAATTCATCCCCTCAAAATCCATAAAAAGCAAACGACACTAATTTACACCAACCGACATCCTTAAATTTAATCCACAATTAACCAAAACAGAACACTAACACTAACACTAACACCACCTCAGGATTATTCTATTTCTAGTTGCAAAAACAAAAAAAATAATAATCGTAATAATTATACTTGCCAAATTATAAGATTATTATCATAGTAATTACTTGATTACCTCCCTAAACCAAACCCACCTTCGTCGTTTAGTCAAAACGAGGGAACGACGCCGTATCGTGAATCACTGATAAACCCAACCGAGGAGGGAGAGCCATATAGATGGTTCATATCGGATTCAATTTCTGTTCGTTTCGCGAACCGGCCTTTGATTCTTGGTCTCGTTTCGGCATAAGCTTTTCGGGAAGCGTAACGTATAGTCTTTTCAAATTTCCGGTTCTTTCTTTTCTCTCTATACCTCAACACCCGCGCTTCACGGTCAATCCCAGGCGCCTGACTTGCTTGGCTTGCGGTTGCCGAAATAGATACGTTGGGACCGGCAGAATTATTTATGTTTTGGCCAAAAGGGTAAGATATATCGGACATAGAGTTTCCATCTGGTACAACTCCTACATCAACCGATGATGAAGAAACCTGAAAAAGAAGATATATAAAATGAATAAAAATGAAAAGATTATTAGAATTTCAAGTTACAACGGAGAGAAAATATATAGATACATACACTTTGGCTAATAGACTGAGTTGGATAGTTGAGGGAAGAAAGCTTTGATCTACAGAAATCAACGTCATAACAAATTTCGTTGTTGATAATTGGCATCGGAGATGGTTTAGTTTGCACTGGAACGACGCTGTCAGTAGCTGCGGTATGGTGGTTCTGATGAAAATCCATGTCAAGAAATGGATCCATTACAGGAAAAAATAGATCCGAAGACTTCATTTCAGGATTTTCAATCCCTAATAGTTTCGAATTAAGGCTTGGAGGATTCGGTAACAGCCACGAAACACTGTCCATGTCATCCTCTTGTTGTTGGTGGTGATGGTATCCGGCCGCGGAGCCACCAACTAAAAAATTAAACGGCGATGATTTAACAATGGAGTCAGCGGAGTCGAAGAACGGTTCAACCGGAACTCGTTCATGCCGGCGAGCGAGTGGGTTAGCGGAGTGAATATCATCATCGCACGTGACACAAAGAGCGGCAGCGTCGGCTTTGCAAGTGACGGCAGCAGGTGCTTGCTCACAAACCTCACACATCCAAACGCGCTCGTGTCTAGAAACGAGCTTATTGGCGCCGTGGATCTTGGAATCGCAGTTAAGGCAAAGGTAAGCCGAGTCAGCACGGCAAAACGCAGCAGCAGGTGCCGTTTTGCAGGAGTCACAACGTCTAGCAGAAACGCTAGACCAACCGCCGGCTAAGCTCTTTAACGTTTCGAGTTCAATTCCCATGGTGCTGGAAAAACAAAGAAAAAACGTTTTTTTTTTTTTCAGAGTAATGGGGAAGAGTGGGGGCTAGTGCTTGTAGAGCTGGGCATTCTGATCGCTTAGCAATTGATTTTTATCTATCTAGTCAGAGGGGAGGAAATCTGGTAAGGACGAGTGGGAGAAGGACACGTGGATGAAGTTCTAGCCACGCAAAATTGTTTTTAGGACAATTATTTTATGGGTTTTGGATTTTAATAATGTTTGTGACAAGTAATTGTCAATGTGTCTGTGCCGACGTGGGACCCACAGCCATAAGGCAAGAGTGGAGAAGACGGTCAAGTGACAGACAGTTTCATGTAGATGTTATTTTGTAGTGAGAAAGGGCCATATTCTTGAGGGTGGGGGCAATAGGCAAGGGTTAGCTTGGCTTTTTCCTCCAATCCCAATTTTTTTGGATTTTATTATTGTTATTTATTATTATATTTCAGTGCGCAGGAATGTAAAGTATAATCATATTTTAAAAGAAAAATTAGTATTTTAACTAGTAATATAATGATAAACAATTATATCTTAACTTTAACATTGCAAAATAACTATTTTACCCGCACTTTTGCAAATTAACTTTTACAAATTAGTTGTAATTCTAGAGTTTTATCAGGTACAAGTGTTTTCACCGATATGGTGAGTTCAAATAAACTATTTCATATTGTATAACATACAGTAGATTTCAGCCCATCGAATTTCTCAACGAATAAAACAATTAGTTGTAATTCTATTATTTTGCCAAAATTCAAATGAAGATGATTTATTATATATCATTTTTCTCAGTAGCTCATTTTCAAACTCAACTCTACTGTGATTTTTCATAATTCTTTTGTCAATTGTAAGAAAAAGATGGTGATATAATTTTGATTACATATATAGAACTAAAATTGATATGTGTAAATTAGAATAAAATTATTTATTTAGAAATTCGGATATGATTGTAATTTTTTGGAAAAGGTTCGGAATTTTTCCTTTTTTTTTTTTTTTTTTTTTTTTTCATTTTTCCAAACTCAAACTCTGTACTGTGATTTTCAAACTAATTCTTTTGTCAATTGTAAGAAAAAGCCCTGGTGATATAATTTTGATTACATATATAGAACAAAATTGATACCCATGGTGTAAATTAGAAAAATAAATTATTTATTTAGATAATTCGGGATATGATTGGTAATTTTTTGGAAAAGGTTTCGGAATTTTTTCTTTTTTTTTTTTTTTTTTTTTTTTTTTTTTTTGTCATCAAGCCTAAATTTTATGGTTAGCCAAAAACAAGAAGGTGCATTCTCTGATTATATTAGAGTAAAGGCATGGTGTTGGTTGGGAGACAGAGAAGAAAGAGCTCAAAATGTAACTTCTATTTTTGGAGTTAAGAATAAGTTTAAACTTTGCTTTAATTATTCTTTAGAATCTTGATGTATTTTTTAGATTGAAATTAAAATATAATTAAAGATAAACTTAACAAACTATTTACTAGTTATATGTTTTTTTTTTTTAAAAAAAAAAGTAAACATATTCATTGTGTCTCATAATATAAATCGCTTTGGGGTAACTGTTTTGTCCCAAAATATAAATCATCTTGAGTATTTTAAGGACTAATAAATAATTTTATTTCAATTTTATTCTTATTTATATTAGGTATAATAACTTTTTTTTCAAGTTACCACTAATTTTGAGATAAAAAAATAATTTGATCAAATTACCTTCTTTAATCTTCATGTGAAAACCTTAAACAATTTATATTGTGGGACAAAACGAGTGATAAATTATTTTTAAATGTACTAATGATTGAACATATTTAATTTATAATGGACATAAATCATACAGAGTTATTTATGTAAACACATATTTATATTTAAATAATTTAATGCAAAAAACAACTATTGATAATAAAAATTTTATTTTAGTATATAATAAATTTAATTGTATATTAAACAAAAAAGATTGAAAAATAAATAATATGAAAAAAATATTTTCATTAATAGATAGCTAAATAAAACTCTTAAATACCAAATAATAAAATAAAAGTGTACAAATTTATCACAATCAAACTTGGGCAAAGTTGAGAGCGAGACTTCCACAGGTGTAAGACCTATAAGCTTATAGTAAGCCTTTTTTTTTTTTTTTTTTTTTTTTCCTTTTTTTTTTTTTTTTTTTTCTTTTTTATTTATGAGAAGGTTCAATGAGTTATATAATAGAGGATAGTCCTCCTAATAACTTGTTATATTGATAAATATTCATATGATCGAGAATTCTTGAACTTCACATATTAGTGAGAAGATCAATTAAATCGCATCTGATTAAGGCTTATAGTAAAAACACTTTCTAACTAATTAAATTATACTTCAATAAGTTATATTTTAACACCTAAAATTGCATTACAATCTTTTTTTTTTAAAAAAAATGTTATTGTAATACTATTGATGTCATGTAAATCCATCCATCTATCTATATATATCTATATAAATATATAAAAATAGAGGTATAAAAGCTGATATGACATAAAATTAAATATTTAAAGTAATGATTTGGCATTATTTATTTGCATTTTTAATTTAATTAATTCTTTTTAATTATTTTGCAGGTGTGTTACGTTAAATAATTATTATTAAATTGTAATATTAAATAAAATCTTGAGTGATTATATTAATGATATCAACCAACAGCGAGGAATTGAAAAGGCAATCCAGAGTCAAGAAATTTGTATAGTTTTTCCTTTTTAATATAAAGGATTTATTGTTTAGAATCATCTTTTACAACTTTATGCTTTATATTTGCTTTTATTTTACAACTTTATGCTTTATATTTATTTTCATTTAGTTTCTTTTTTTCCTATGATGTTTGTTTTAATTCTTAATTTAATTTATAAGATTTCAAATATAGAACCCATGTTTTATAGTTTGCATTGCATTAAAAATATATAAATTTTTATTGTATTTAAAATTCTAAATTTCAATTACATGTCAATCAAATTTAAAATAAAAAATATTTTGTAAATTTAAATATACATAAATTAGATTCAACAATTCATCATTCAATCAAATTACTAAGGGGATTATTTGAATGACAAAAGGAAAAAAATAATTAATATACTTCCTAAAATTTTTTATCAAAAGCAATGTTTCACGACCTACGCATTGCGGGCTCACAACTAGTTTTTATATAATACTCAAAATGTTTGGACAATTCAAACACTTAGCTTTTATTATATCAAGTCTAAAGGTTGATTGTTAAGTATGAGCACATCTTCTGAAGTTGCAAACAAGTTTTGAGAGACTGTATTCAAATCAAAAGGAAAAACTGTGGTAATGACATTTGTAGATTAAATTCTAGAGTTGTGAACTATCCCTAATTAAATGAATTCAACTTTAGAAATTATGGCTCCAAAAATTTCATTTTTTTAAGCGTAAATTTTGACAAGCAAAATAAAGAATTTGAGATTGAAAATTTTGGTTTTGAACTTTCAATTTTCACATCAATTTTTTCAATCCAAATTTGATATTGAAACTTTTAGTGCGCAATTGCTATGTAACAATCCACCTTTTTTTTTTCATTTAAAGTCTAAACAAATAAAATGTGTTATTTAAGTAACATGTTCTCTCTCTCATCATTTATCACCTCTTATAAAAAATTGAAAAGTATTTTAATATCTTTTCAATGGTAAATTAAGAAGAAATTCACAAAAAAATCACCTTCTTAGTCCTACAGAAATTTTAACTTTCTCTGTATAAATTGAACGGAAGGAGTAAATGTTTAATAAGAAACAAAGAATGAACATAGAGTTAATTTTGCAGGAAGAGTCTGAACTTTATGATATGCACTTAAGAGGGATGAACTTTGATTTGTAACTTAAACATGCTTAAATTTTAATTTTATATTACTAAATGCCTTTGACTAGTTTAACCCTTTTTCAATAGTCGAAAAGCCATGTCGCTGACGCATACCGTTTTTTATTATCTTTAATAGTCAACATTATTTATATTTTTTAAAAAAAATCATATAAAGACCCCATTTATTATTAAAAAATAAATATCATCTCTTTTACAAACATATAAGCTCATATGTATTTTGTCTCATCATCTCTCTCAAAAAACAAATCTGAAACAAAAAAAAATTTTCCAAAATTCATAGACAACAACAGGAAAAAAAAAATTTAATCTAAAGCAAAAACAAACAAAAAAGAAAAAAAAAATTCAAATAACTCAAACCTCACCCGAATTCTAAAATTATCTAAACCCAGCATACAAACATTATAACAATAATTATTCAGCATCCACCCAAATTCTGAAATTGAGACCTACTGCTACTATTACTATTATCGGAACTAGAATTTGCTGCCACTATGTAGGGGCAGACGCAAGCTAGGGTCAAGGGGGCCACGGCCCCTCCCCCACTTCCGAAAATTTAAAAAAAAAAAAAAAGAATTTTTAATGTAAAAATTTTTTGAAAAAAAAAAGTTTTATCACCCATAATTAAATAAAATTATTTTTTGGTACCTCTAACTATTTGGGCTTGTCCGCTACTGCCGCTGTGTTACTGATAAGTGGTAGAAATATTGTAAGATAAATCAAAATAAAAAGAGATAACTTTGGAAATATTACCGTTAAGTTCTTGAATCAAAGCTACACTTTTTACCATGTTGTTGGAAGTTCTCGATTGGTGATTCTTGTATACTTATTCAATCAAATTTATGTTTCATGTTCAAAAGTGATTGGACTTGCCGGAAAGTGGAGGTGAAAGTTGACCAGACCTCATGGTCTCCTTCATTGTGTTCGGCGTTGCAGTGCTTGTTGTTGGTGCGTAGATCGCTAGAGAAAACAACAAGAAGAAAGGCTCAAATATTGTGGGGTTGGGTTGGGGGGGCAGCATAATTAAAGGGAGCTAGGGAAAGAATGGGGAAAAGAAGGGAAATGGAGATATTGAGTTTCATCAAACATATGAGAGAAAATAGAATAAAGTGAAAAGGTGAGGAAAAAAAATATAAATTTGTAAAGGATAGGGACTTCAAATATAAAAAATAATAAAAAGATGTCACTGGCATGACTATCTAGGGATTTTAACAAAAATAATATTTTTG